ATCTATCCTTTCCCGAGAGATTCGTGGCCGCCAGATCGACTTCCGTGATTCACCCTTGTAAGGCCCCTGCTAGCTCACCCCGCCATCATCGTGCTGCGGCTTGCTTTGCCCCTCAACACCTCCCTGCACACCTTCCGGGTCGCCTCTCCAAAACTTCGCTAACATACGTGCTCCATTACATAGGGAACAACATAAACACCACCCTCGGCCGATACATTACAAATCACCTCTCCTCCCCACCCGTTCCCGGCCTTCCCCGTATCTCATTCCATCCCCAACCCACGTAGACTGAGCGCGCACGCGAACCCATCAATCTGGCTGGAAACAAGCGGAGGAGTTTCTCCACCCAAGGAGGCCTCTTGAACAGGATGTTCGGTAGCACCAACAAAGACGATGAATCCGCCATAGATACGAGCCCTGCTTCCGATTCGCTCAAGGTCCCCCAAGCCAACGATACAGGGACAGACGAGAGGAAGCGGGCTGGCAGCAATGCCTCCAATACCTCGACCCCAGAGCGCAAGAGCAGCGACGCGATCCCCATCAGCGAGAAGAAGCGAAGAAGCAGCGGAGTATCGCGTGCCCGGGATATGTTTTCTAGTGCGAAACAGTCGCTTCATCTATCTGGCTCTTCCCCAACTTCCAGCAGTCACCCCAACTCAGATAAAATTGCCCAAACCCCCTTACAGAAGCTCGGAAAAGTCGACCCTGCCCTTTCCGTGCCACAGGGATCGCTGAATAACTCTGCTGGTGAATCACTCCCGGGACCCCGCTCCACGTTTCGGGTCGGCGTTACGGAAGATAAAAATAAGAAATGCAGGAGAACTATGGAGGATACGCATGCCTATCTTTACAATTTTCTCAGTACTCCTGCGCCTTCTTACGGAATCGACAAGAGCCGCAGCTCCGTCTCCGATATCTCCACCAGCTCCACTCAGTCAGTCGTAGAAACTGACAACGGATATTTTGCAATTTACGATGGTCATGCCGGTACTTTCGCTGCAGACTGGTGTGGTAAGAAGCTTCATTTGATATTAGAGGATATGATTCGAAGAAATCCAAACACACCTATACCGGAACTTTTGGATCAGACTTTCACCCAAGTTGATCAGCAGCTGGAGAAACTCCCTTTGAAGAACAGTGGCTGCACTGCAGTTACAGCAGTGCTCAGATGGGAAGACCGTGTGCCTAATTCTCAATCTTCTACTGGTTCGGTGTTGTTTGCCCCTGCCGCAGTATCCGCTGTCAAAAATGACAACGGTGAGAAGGCGCTTGAGAGCGCGGAAGGAGTAGATTCTGGAGAGGTCCAGGCATCAGAAGCGAGGGTACGAAGTGAAGCATCTCGCCAGAGAGTTTTGTACACGGCAAATGTGGGAGATGCGCGGATAATACTCTGCCGTAATGGCAGAGCTCTGCGACTCTCATACGACCACAAAGGTAGTGATGAAAACGAAGGTCGCCGTATCGCTGGTGCAGGCGGCCTAATTCTGAACAACCGGGTCAATGGCGTTCTTGCAGTCACCAGGGCGCTAGGTGATGTCTATATGAAGGATCTTGTCACTGGCCATCCCTACACGACGGAGACGGTCATCCAGCCTGATCAAGATGAGTTTCTGATTCTTGCATGCGACGGGGTAAGTCTTGCTGCTCAGGACAAACCTGGCTATGCTAACATTGTTCAGGTTTGGGATGTGTGCACAGATCAAGAAGCGGTGGATCTGGTCAGAGGCATCCAAGATCCCCAGGCAGCCTCCAAAGCCCTTGTGGACCATGCACTCGCCCGTTTTTCGACCGACAACTTGTCCTGTATGGTGGTTCGGTTTGATAACAAGGCTCTTAAACAGCGCAAGACAGAGGCACAACTCGGGGTGGACAAGGATTCCTCGGCTGCGAAATCGGGTATCAGTGAAGCCGATGCTATAGTTTCTCAAGCAAAGAAAGAATTAAGCGAATCCAATGTGTCGATGGAGAGCGCAGCGGCTGAGATTATCAAAGAAGAGGAAGAACAGGAACCTGGACCCGAACTCAATCTCGAAGCGGCCAAGGCGGCACAGAAAAAGGCCAGCTGAGGATGGGTATGTGGTGCACGGTGCATGATGAGTGTAGAAGGAGTCAGGTCTGGGAGGTGTTTTGATTTTGCATGCTGGCGAGCTCGTGGAAATCATTTGTATGCAATATGTGATGGTCCTCGAGGAGGGAGGGAATGACGGAGATGTCACTTTGATGAAAATGCATTGTTTCATAGGGCCTGCTGTACTACAAAGCCAGGCGTATCTGCGAATCCCATTACTTTTCACGGTTCTCGTTGAAAGATGTGCCCACGATCAAGCTCATGTACTTGTAGAGAAGCATTAGACCAGGATACACACACCATGCAGCCGGTGCCTACGGCGTGCATGGCCTGAGTGGAGCACGCGCTAACTTTGTACAAAGTGGGCGAATGCAGCTGGGTCCCGAGTTTTTGGAAATGCGCGTTGAGCCGCGGTGACGATGAGACTGATGAGTAGTTCGTGAAGATGAATGCTCTGGTTGGTGATGATGGGTCGTCATGATGAAATGGATGGCGATCTAACGGCGGTACGCTTGTACGCTTGTACGCTTGTGCAGGGAGAGGTAGGCAATTATGTAATGATGGATCGGTCCCCGACAGGCCAGTGCGTGCTTGCCCCACCATTGATGAGAACGAACCGCAACGGATGGCAAGGCAAGGGCAAGGCAGGCGGCGAGGTAACGTTAACGAGGAAACGACTAGGCCGGCAACCGTGATTCTTGAATTCTTTGTTTTCCCCTCGCTCTCCGCCCACAGACAGCATTGACGAGGCACCACGACACAGTACACGGCACGCGCATTCACCAACGCTCCGACTGCTTCGAGCCTATTGCAACCCGACACATTCCCTCCTCCATGCGGCTCCAACCAAAGGAGCACCGCAGTCACGATGTCTGGCGCAGACACGGCCGACGCAGCAGTGCCGCCCGCCGCACCGCTGCCTCGTAATAATCTTCTCCACAGTGGCAGTCCGCTTGGCCATGCCTTTGTCACCCCCCGTACATACCTCGAGCAAGGGCGACCGACGATGCCCCCCCGCGCCCTGACCGCAGCCGACCGGGAGCAACTCGATGGTCTCAAAACAATCCGCGCCTTTTTGAAGGTGCGCACCAGCTACGACGTCTTGCCGCTTAGCTTCCGCTTGATCATCTTCGATACCGCCCTACTGGTGAAGAAGAGTCTGAACATCTTGATACAGAATGGTGCGTCATTCCCCTCGTCCGGGCGTGCGGAACTGTTTCTGACTTTCGACTAGGCATCGTCTCGGCACCGTTATGGGACTCCAAAACATCCACTTTCGCTGGTCTGCTCACTACCTCGGACTACATCAACGTCATTCAGTACTATTGGCAGAATCCCGAACAATTAGCAAGAATAGATCAGTTTCGATTGAGCAGTCTCCGAGGTAAGCTCACACCTCCACATCGGCGACCTTGACTGATAAAGAAATAGACATAGAAAGATCTCTCGGCGTCAGCCCCATAGAAACCATTTCTGTACATCCTGAGCGCCCACTGTATGAAGCATGCCGCAAAATGCTCGAATCCCGTGCCCGCCGTATCCCCATTGTGGACATTGACGACGAGACGCGGCGGACAACGGTCGTCTCCGTAATCACACAATATCGCTTACTCAAATTTATAGCAGTGAACGTCAAGGAAACGCAAATGCTCCGGAAACCCCTTAAAGACTTGAGCGTGGGCACATACAAAGATTTGGCGACTGCATACATGGATACACCCGTCATGGATGTCATCCATATGTTAGTCAAGAAAAGCATATCGAGTGTGCCAATTCTCGACAAGGATGGTATGTCTGGACTGACAGCTTCTTGAAAATGTATACTAACAGGTTCAGGCACGGTCCTCAACGTTTTTGAAGCAGTCGATATCATCACTCTTATTAAGGGTGGTATATACGATGAACTGAACCTCAGTGTAGGCGATGCGCTACTTAAACGTTCAGATGTGAGTTTGGGTGGTTAAATCCCTCTGTTACGTTCCATCTCTAACGCACGGCAGGACTTCCCCGGTATTTACACGTGTTCCATGCAAGATCAGCTCAGCACCATATACGATACCATTCGGCGGTCCCGCGTCCACCGATTCATCGTCATTGATGAGCACCGCAAACTACAGGGCGTGCTAACACTCAGCGATATCCTAGAATACACGTTACTTGAGGGGGAGGAGAATGAGTAGATTCTGGATCTTCCCATCGTCGTTTGACTGTTGGGTGCCAGTGGCTTTGAATCACCAGAGACGGAGAAGATACCATATAGAGCAGCTTTTCTGTTGGACGCGGACCAACTTTTGGACATGCGATCAACCCCGCTGTGAGGGACGTCAGCATGCCAGGAGTGTATGGTTAGAAGCGATGCAAACGCGAGGGGGATGACTCGCGTTTGTTGATATATCCCATTCGATTTTTGTACTTTTTGGTATCATGAATTACAGCTGTAAACTTACCGAAAGGTGCTCGTGAATAGGTGATACCGTGGTAAATATCTACGTAGTCTTGATACCTTATCTTGAGAATTCTTCTTTTGAGATTTGCCTGGCTCGTTTCATCACGATTTTTTTTAATCGACTTCTGGCTGAGATGGCATACACGAGGAGAAGTCTGACGATATCTTTTCTTCAACATCATCCCTCAGTCAGACGCAACAATCACTCGGAAGAAGTTGGCAAAGGCCAGACATGAAAACATTTACATAACGTGTCATGGTATCCAGACTCTTGAACGGGCTTAAGATATCTACCCTATGTGTTTTACGAACTAAATATGATGTTGGAACATGGACAACGGGAGATGCGCAGTCGCTCTTTCGTATTTGAGGTGCATGCACACCACACCCACCCCGCACTCATCCACCTCCATTCCCTGCCACACCCTTCCTTCCTTCTCCTCTCCCCACAAAAGCCGCAAAAAGAAAAACGACAAAAAAAGAAATCTCTCCGACGGGGAATCGAACCCCGGTCTCCCGCGCTTGTTATCCAGAAGGAATTGGATTGACAAGCGGAAATCATGACCACTAGACCATCGAAGATGTGTTTGATGCGCTCGCTGTGTGAAGGAGCGGATGGTTTGGTTGGTTTGATGGAAACTTCGTTCACTTATTATGTATATATAGCACGTTCAAATTCTTGAGAGGTCTGACGTGACGGCTGAAGTGGGGATTAATTAGGTACCTTGCTAAGCACACTTGTTCAGTTTCCAACCAACTTCTTTTGGGTTGGGGTCGTCGCGCGTGAAAGTGGGGGGGGAGGTGCAATTCTTAGTTAGGTTGTGTGTGCGGAAAGCTAGACTTTGTTTGGAATGATAACCTTGCATAGCTAGATGCAATGCAATATCCCTTTTTTTTTTTTTGTTGGCCTACAGCATTTATTTGACAATTTGACAATATCATTTGAAGAGAGGAAAGAAAAAAGAAAAAATGTTCACGTTCCACATGCGGTGCGTGTATTTGTTTTTCCATCACACATCCCCTTTCTACTATATCCACCTTGTAATGTGACCCTACATATAATGGTCATCCTAATCCTCAATTCAGGTCAAGTGGAGTCTTGGGAGATACAAATGGATTTCCAAAACGCATCCCTACACTTACACTACAGGCACAGTTCTAAATTCCCCCTGACTCGAAACTTCATCGCTCCACTTTTTTCTTCTTCTCGAAAATGTGGAGGCTGATACTCGTCCGATGTTGAAACTAGCTACGTAGCGCTTCATGATGGCCTGGTCCCCTAAAAACAAGAAATGGTCTTTCCCCTCTGCTAATTATGGCACCTGGAGCCTGGAGGTGATGCCTTGAAACAATCCCTCGCGTGATATGAGATACCGATACATCCATTTATCCTACATCATCTGGAGGAACTAAGGCACTACGATCCTAGAGGTGCATGAATTCCAATCGGTTAGACTATATCGATATTTCGCGTATTCTTCAAGAGATACATCTGTGTGAACACGACTAACGTCAAATGTGGGGTCAGCTAGACTGGTCATACTCGATCAAAAAGTTCGCGCATTTAGATCTTGAATGCTGTTTGTAATATATCAAATAACTTCTGTTGGGGTATATATATAAACGCCGAGTAATGCATGGGTCCCGGCCGCCAGTACCGGTCGTTGGTAAGCAAAAAAAAAAAAAAAGAAGAAGACGGAATACCCTAAACTCCCATGAGCACCGCACTTTTGAAGACTGGCCGCCGAATTTTCGAATTGACAAAACTATCCCTCCCTGTCATATTTCAGACATCTTCCTCTTCGTCCCACCTCTTCCTGTAGCCACTCTAACCGCTGGTGATCGGCATCATCAAATGCGAACCCGCGACTCCAAAATCCACAGCCAATGTTTGTACTTTCATTCCGATATACGACTTGTGCTTGGCCAGCCAAGTCAACTGGTGGTATGCCATGTTCCTCTCCAATCTCCCATCCAATTTCGGCGATTTGACTGCTGCCTGGCATATGGTGAAAGAGTTCCGAATTTAGCGTCCAGCAGCGCAGACCTGGACTGGCGTACTTGTGCCTCAACATCGGGTTTGGATGAGGATATGGATTCCTCCAGGGTGTTGGCGAAGGCGTTTTTGACCCAGCATGGCAAGCGTCTAGGAGTGCCACGTCGAAGGCTCTGGGCCCACCTTCACTCAGTTTCGGGGTAGCTAGATCATTGAGGAGGCGTTCAGCTGCTGGACGTGTGACTGCGTAACCAAAGGAGCAAAGGGGGAATTTGGAGCGATGGAAGATGCGCGAATGTGCAGGTAACCGGAGCGTATTGAAGAGGCTTTGGGTGAAAGGGTGGAGATCTGAACGAGTAGGCAATGTCGGGTCATTGTATGTGATGTGTCGAGAACCCGACAAATCATAAGATGTATCTCCGGGAACCTCGCCATCCTCGGTGATTTGATTGAAGTAGTCGCCACAGTGACCGAGATAGAGCAGGTCCCATTGTCTGTGATCACCCCAGTAATGTTCCTTCTTTGCTCGCAGTTTAGAGAGAGGTCGGGGCCATTTGGAGGATAATAGGCTGCGCGCAGCTCTTGCTGCAAGAGGAGCCTGCACGGTGCGAAGCCGTATGTCCCAGTCCACATCATCCTCGAGAATCAGAGCTGTCTCCAGGCCAGAGTCAAGGAACCTAGAATAGTAAGTATACCTTATAGTCATGGCGAGCTAATATATTGGGTCTTACCATTGCAGCGCATTGCGGTGGCCCAACCACGCCAGAATAGAGCCTACCTGCACCTTGTCTTGTTGTCCGTTACGAAACCTCTCGACCTCGTTCTCGGTCCATTGCGGCTGCTCTGGAATGGTGAGGTCGAGGTTGGTTACATTGGCGGCTTGCAAAAGCGAATGGCGACGCTTTGAGCCATTTTTGGAAACAACGACCATTGCGCCGAAACCTAAGGTGCTGTTGGCGGGAACGTTGTCATGCTGTGAGCTAAGAGATGGTGTCCAGTGTCTGTATATGTGACCGGTGTTATGCGTGTAGGTGAAGAAGAGCAGAGTCAGGGCAAAGGCGACGAGTAAAGGTATTGGGCGCTTCCTGCTGGGGGCAAGCATGGCTGTATAATGCAAAGAACCGACTAGAGCGAGCGAGACAAGAGAATCAGAGGAGTGTGAATCAGGGACCAGAGGCCACTTGTGGAAGGCTGGCAGCGAAGGTGAGGGAGACATGTGGTTGGAATTGGAAGTCAAGTCTATCCCAGGTCAAGCAAGGCAAGTGCAGAGAAATGAAGGAAAGAGCATTACACTGAAGGCAGGAGCAGCAGGAGTAGGAGCAGGAGCAGGAGCAGATGAAAAGGTGAGCGAGCGACCCAGTTGTTCCAGGTACATGCAAGGATATGTCATTTACAAGGTGCTAAGAAGAGTAGATCAAATGAATGGAGGCGGCACTGCAATTATTATTCCTGATTGCCTGGCGTTTGCATGTCTGACAGATATGGCCGCGTCGTCGGCGTGGAGTCGAGCCAGGCTCCACAACTCTCGACGTATGGAGCCAAGAGGCAGTGATTCGTCGCTTGACGCAACTTCTGATGCTCTGGGCTCTCGGCTCCGGTTTCATTTTGCAAGTGGCAACCCCACAGTGCTGGGGAGCGATGCAAACTACCGGCGATGGTGGAGCACACCACTGTTCGATGGCAAAACGTCGACAGAAGCAAAGCCCAACAGGCCGCGTTGTAGCCAGCAGATGGGGCCACTATGCTTGCCAAATTGCATGGAAGGGCATTTCAAGCTTTGGCGGCATCCGTCCGGGCCGCGTGGACGTTTGATACAGCTGGTGTTGGAGTTATTCTGATCACTTTACGTCTTGGGAAGTCGAAACCAAGCATTACGCATTGGAGAGTGACAGGCGAGATGATCGCTGACCTGAATCACGTGTGGCAGCGGCTGCCCATCCTTCCTTCCACAGGGCTTAGTGCGGCGCTAGAACCTCAGGCGGGCCAAAACGGGTTAGGCGCGCCGGACAGGGGCTCCGATCTCTCTCGCGCTGCGAGCTGCTGAACTGAACCGTCTGCACTGCTCCTGTACGGAGGTAATGTACAATGTCATCAGCGAGTTGTCCGCCCGCTGTCGTCCGAGTCTGACAGCCCTCCCCGAACCCTTACTGCACGCCCAGATTCCTTCGCCTCTTTGAAAGTTGCACGTTTCCTGCGTATCCTCTCCCTGCTGCTTGTTCCTTGTATCAAAATATCGCAACGCGCGTCGACGTGGGCTGCGCCGCCCTGAAACCCTGATCTCCCCAAATAGACTGCCATCGGCCTATGAACTCCACGGTACCCGGTCCACGAGCCCCATCTTCAATTTCAGTACCTCCATGGATCGACGTCACGCAACCTTCTTGAACTTGTAAACACAATTCACTCTGTTCTGCCGTATGCCCCACGCCGCCCTAACGAGGGAAGAATGACCACGCTAGGGTCGCCGTCACCCCCGTTATCCCCTTCGCGAACCATGCGCCGTCGTGGATGCGCAAGGAGAGTTGAACGTTATTGCTGTGTAGCTGTCACATACTTTCCGCTGCTGTTCGTATATGGTTTGACATCATGGGCTGTTTGGGTGGAAGCCGGAATTGGCTTCATGCCCGCTAGAAATCGTTGGACAGGTAGGATAGCATCTTTTCGGCTTCGGTGAACATTGTTGGTGGAGGAGCGGTGGTTGACTTGATATCACTAGGCAAATTTACTTCCTCGCTCGGCATCTTTCTCTATCTCATGCTCAACTGGAGCTACACCACCGCCGTATTCACCGATCCGGGTTCGCCGCTGAACCTCAACAATGGCTATACTCACTTGCCGATGCAGGAGGAAGGCGGTCCCCAGTACACTTCCTTCACGGTCAAGACATCAACCGGCGACCTCAGATACTGCAAGAAGTGCCAAACGAAGAAACCCGATCGTTCCCACCACTGTTCGACATGTAAGCGCTGCGTGCTGAAAATGGACCATCACTGCCCATGGTTGGCTACTTGTGTCGGCCTCTACAATTACAAAGCATTCCTCCTGTTTCTCATTTACACAACTTTCTTCTGTTGGGTCTGCTTTGCTACCTCTGCGTTGTGGGTTTGGACCGAGATAATAAACGACCCGCAGATTACTGATTCCTTCGTGCCGGTCAACTGCGTTCTGCTAGCTGTTCTTGCGGGTATCATAGGATTAGTATTGGCTGGTTTTACTGCATGGCACATATGGTTGACTATTAAGGGCCAGACGACGATTGAAAGTCTGGAAAAAACGCGATATCTTTCGCCCATACGAAACAGCATGAGGGACCAACTCAGCAATCGTAATTACATTGAAGCGCAAGCAAATGGACGGGCAAGCATCAGCGACCAATTGCGCGAGATTCATGCTAATGCTCTTCCTGGTGTGACCAGGCCCGAAGAAGGCGAATCGACACCGAAGTCGCGTTCCCCAGCGCCTACAAGTGCACACATGAGTAATGGTTATTCGAACCGCAATTACAATTCCTACGAGCAGCGCGAACGCCAGCACGAGGAGGACCGCTATGCATCATATCTGGAGGAACTCGACAATGAGCGTCTAC